GTTCTCCTAAAAGCCTGATAACCCCAGGTATCTTGTGCTATAAGTGGCCCAGCTCTCACCGAGTTAGAAATGAGTGTTTGGAGGGCAAGGGTGATGGGGAACATTCCAATTTGCCAACAGTTCCCTAATGCCAGTATGTCTTCGGAGCAGCCGTGTCGGCTACCAAGGAAACCTGTGAATTCGCCATGGAAGCTGTCAGACCAGCTTAGAGGCATCAGTGATGAACATCCTGAGTTATTTCTGGAGAAGGTGATTGATGTTTCAAATATAAGATGACATTTTGATGGGATCCAGACTTGCTGTGACAGGAGTTAATGAGGATAATGATGAGGATAATGATATTTACATTATACCTTTCTTCCAAAGAACCCTTCAGTCCTTTTATCTCATCTGCGTTGAAAATGTCCCTTTGGAGTTGGGAGAGGAAGGTGTTACTAATCTGTTTTTCAGGAGAGAAAATATAGAGAGAGTTAATTGCCCAGCTTTCAGCCTCCATTTTGGTGGTGAGAAGAGACGTTTAAGTGACACATTAAACTTGGAGAAATGAAACTTAGAGAAACACCTGTCTCAGTTCCCAGCCATCCTATGCAATGCTGCCGTATCAAGCTCCAGTAATATCACTCCCTGACCCAAAAGTCTTCAGGGGATCCTCACAGACTGCCAAATTCAGTCTGAATACCCTACCTTAGCAGGCAAGGCCCTTGACATTCCACCTACATTGTCTCACTACGCTCTTATATTTGCCCCTGTTTCAGCAAAACAAATCCACTTGCTTGCTCCTACCATCTGCTCTGAGCACCCCATTCTCCTTTCATAATGTTCATCACACTTGCCGTAACTTGTTTAATGTCTGTCTTCCTATTTGGATGGAAATTCCAGAAAAGTAGGGACTGTCATCATTGTATCCCCAGGGCCTAGCGGAGTTAACTGGCACACAGTAGTTGCTTCTGAAGAGCACACTATGCTCTCCCACCTCCACGCCTTTGCTCACCTGTTCTCTCAGCCTCGAATGCCTGCACTCCCATCTCGGCCTCACGAAGCCGCCGCTGTTCTTCCAAGCCCAGATCAAACCCCAATTCCTCCGTCTGGTCTCCCCTCCTTGGGAACCACCACAGCATTTTTCTTTTTAGTTCTTACCTTACCTTCTGTTGTGTCTGTAATCATCTGTGCACTTGTGTAGCCTTCCTTCCCTGCCCCTCCTAGACTGTCAGCTTTTGAAACTCAGGAGCTGCACCCCGGAGCTGGCAGAGTGTGGGCACTTGTTAAACATGTGCTCACTTGTCTAAAACTATTGTTGACCAGCATTCTTTGTTCAGCAAAATTCCCATTTCTAGAATCTGCAGCTTGTCACAAGAGGGGATTTTTCTCATTCTTTTCTTCCTCCATTCTTCTGGAAGGCTGGGAGGAAGATCAGTCAGGGACCCCCTGCCAACTCATCCTTTAACAAGTGTCTCCCTCTCTTCTGTGAGGAGCCCTCTGGTACTTAGGCAGAGGGTTCCATTTCTATGGGGGCCCAGAGCAGGTCTGCAGGGCTGGCTGTTGGCATTTTTTACCTTCATCTCCCATATCCATGCCAGTCTAAACAATGTAGAACTAATCAACGCACCATCAACTGAGATGGTGTGATTAAATCAATGACCTCTCCCAAGAATTTTAGTACTGGTCTGTGCTTCTGGTGACCATTTGCACAAACCATTCAGTCACGATAAGAAGACACCAGATTGGACTAACTCTGGGTGTGTGTGAAACCTTATAAGCAACACATTTTCGACAGCTTGAAGACTCCTGGCTACTAGCAACGTGGGCATACCAAACATCTGTGATATATACTCCAGATAAATTAGAAAGAGCTGCTTCGACAACCGTGTCACAGAATATTCAGGGCTGTTAAAACTGATGATGTAGATCTGTATTTACTGACATGGAGAGATGCCCACAATATATTGCTAAGTGAAGGAAGCAGGATATAGAACAGCAGGATTATGTAAAATTATTCCATATTGATATCTATTCAAAGATGTATGGATATTCTTCAAAATGTTAATAGTGGCTATCTCTAGGTGATGAAATTTTGGGCAATTTTTTTCTTTACTTTTGTTTTTATAGATTCCTTTGTATTGCTTGAATTTTATTTTTACAGTGAGCAGTTATTTTTACAATTAGAAAAAGAAATCAATAAAGCTACTTTCAGTTCAAAAAAATTGTTGGAAATAAAAAAGCCTCATTAAAAAATCTTCAAGTTTCCTAAAAGATGCTTACTGTAAAACAAACAAAAACAAAAACCAAACTCTTGCATGAATGAAGAAAAAAATTGTTCAGCTGCCTCCTTAACTGAACCATATAATATGCTGACCACAGTTAGGAGTCAAAAGGAAGAAGGGAAGCCTTTTGAAGGAGGAGGTTCCCCTGACCTAGCATGGAGAATATGCATCCTTTTTAAGCGCCTGGAGCATGAAGTACCACTGCAAATATCATTTGAATCCAAGCTTTTGATGGTAGCCGATTTACAGGTACAGTATTTCTAATTCCATAACTTATATGACAAGAGAGAAAACTTCCCATCTCTGATAGCAAAAAAACGGTGACTTCATTCACCACAGCAGTTTCTGTTGCAAAAAAGAGACGTAGGCTGTTGATCACAGTACAACTCACACTTTATTCCATCATGATTGGTATACTTGTAGGATCAGGACAGCAAGAGACTAAAATCAGTGCTCAGGACTTCTCTGGACTAAAGGGCCGTGAAAGGCATTACTGGTTTTGGCACACAGGGTGGATAACCATACATTGGCTAGAACAAGATGGTCAGTAAAATAAAATGCACGAATCTCACACTGTGTAGAAATCATGTCTGAGGTCTGTAGAATGTTAAAGAGTAAATAATGACAAAGACTAACATGCAACTCTACATAAGTCACATTATTCATCTACAGACTATTTTCCCCCCTTACAGATGAAGAGACGGCCTTAGTAGTCTGTTTACAGTAGCTTAAAAGAACAATCAATACACATTAGAGAGCTCTGCCTGCTGATTTCTATAGCAATCCATCATATTTGAAGAAATAATGCTAAATAATGTACTTTCTTTATATTGTCTTTATTAAATTGAATCTTACTGACCAAGTAGTTCTGACTCAACTTTTATGTACTTAAATACAAATTCTAATGTCTTTATAATGTCAAAAAGCATTTTCTGTTAGTGTATCTATCCTTACAAGTCACAATAGACAAGAGGGAAACCTATGTAATGGGTTATCTTTCCTCTTCAACCATAACGTTATGCTGAAGAGAACATCTTCAGAAGTAATACTACTATGCTGCAAATATTTTAGGTTTTCACATCATCATATCACATAGGGAGTCCAAAGAAGCCAGCCTAGTAGTTGACGTAACAGTGCAGAATAAGATTCTGTAGAAGAGGCACACAGATTCTAAGTGATTTCTTGAGACAAAGAGAAGGAAAGAGGGAAAGAAGCAAAGAAAAGGAAAAGTGAAAAACAGCTTTCTATAGAACAAATTGTTCAAAAGAAAAATCTATTTACTTGCAACTGACTAAACATAATAGAGAACAGTTCTTTAATCCGGGATGATAGAAGTAAAGATATTGAAAATTATATGTCAGTTAACTTTAATATTAAGCCTAAACTGGTTGATTGGGGTAGTTTTCCCATGGTTGTTTTTGAGATACTGAACTCTCACAAGGATAATTTCTGCTTTTGCCAGCATAGGGCCGGATTTAACCCAAACGGGCTACCATCACTGCTGGGGACAATTTTTCTTTATTAATTTGGGCATGTGGGTAACATATATTCTCTCTCTGGTAAAAACATATTATTCACTCATGATGAGACACTTGGAAATATGACAGTGATCAAGATATGATTCATTCATAGGATGCATATAATTAGACATTTGCACGTGAAATGAATTTTAAAGTTAAGCAAAAAGGAAGAGGAGGAATTTCTTGAAAGTCTGGCATAGAATCATCAAATAAATATAAAAGACAGATAGTGGTTAAGGATGTCTTGGCTTTCTCAGAGGTTTATCACTTCCATTTGCCAAGGCGGAGATGAAATGAATGAAAGTAATTCTCTCTTGGTCACCAAATATAAGAAATGTTTGATAACAAACACACAGGTGAGCAGTGCAAGACTTGAAATAGTATTTCTTAATCTCCCTGATTCTTAAACAACAAGCCATAGGCAATACAGGAAAGGTGGAGATGACGAGGGTGTTTGATAACATGCCTGGATGAGTCACTGTTCCTTGGAAAGTACCATTTCCCTGGCCTGCTAAAAGGCTGATTCTTTCAGGTTTAAGTAGAAGACAATGATCTCTCCCTTCATTGCGGCATTGTTCTTTGTAAGTTTAAGGTTGTGTAATTTGAATGGTAGGGAGGAAAGAAGTTTTAATTGAATTCCACAGTAAATATTCATGGACATTTCAAAGTAGAATTGTCCATTGTCTGCGGTTGATTTCAAGCACCAAGCCGATCACTTCCTGAACATGCTCCAGCTGGCTTGCACTAGACCATCAATAAACATCGTTAGATGCAACGTCTCTTTTGAAAGAAATAACTTTGCTAGACCAGGATAACTGCAGGGGATTGAAGGCTGGAAATGGGGTGAGTCATGATGGGAGGAAAAAGAAATGAGTTGAAGGAAAAAATAAGACTATTCTCCAAGGTCTGTATATGGCCAGTAATGAAACAAAAATTCATGGAATGTGACTTACAGACTTTCTAAGATGTATCCACAGGGTGTTTCCAAGCTTCCTGATCTACGATCCCCTGGCAACTCATCTGAAGCTGAATTAACTTCTTAGGTATGGTGCCCTACTTCTTCTGGAATTTAGATTTCTGGGACAAACCCCATCAGGATGTGCCTCTGTGTAGTTAACTTTCCCCAACAGCATCTCTGATTTTGGTCACAGTTCTGCTGAGAGGCCCGTTTACCCCTCTGGGGAAGAGTGGGGGCGGTGGCAGGAGATGTAGCTACTAGGCAGAGGAGACCAATGGCAGACAGGGTGGACCCGCAGGAAGGTATCCAGAAGGCAAGACCTTGCACTTTACCCAAGGTCAAGGTGACTGTGATAGCAGTGGAGAAGGCAAAAGAAAGTAACTGGAAAAAAAGTTTCCAGAGTTCAGAAGAAAAAAAGAGGGAAAAGGGGAGAATCTATGGACCAGGGAATTTCACAGTAACCAAAGATGATTAACGATACAGAGAAAAAGAGACTCAGCTTATCTGACTGATCAAGAAGACATTCTTCACCATATATTGGCAATTAAACAATTTCACACTGATAGTACAAACATTAAAATGAGTGTTTCCTTACTATTATTAATCACATTTCAATACTTCATTAGCTCTGTATTTTCTAAATTGCTTAATTCATTTAGCAAATCCACAGCTTAGGTACCACTGTGAGGGGAGGGAGGGGAGGGTGCATAACAAAGCAATTAAACTTAGAATTAAACTTTTGTAAACCAGAGTTAGTAGCACAGTGGCACAGTAGATTGTCAATGAGAACGACAGGAGAGGGTACAGTTATTGGCCTGTGAGTGCAGTATTGCCGGCTACTAGGGAGGGACTCAACTCAGGAGTCTGCCTTCTTGTTAATTAAAATCGAGCAGCAGGTGAGCAGTCCATCTACCTTTTCCATTTCAGAATGGCTCACAGGGATCAGCATATGGTCCTTCAGCTTTTCATAAACCTACAGTAGGAATCAAGGAAAGGTAGAGAAGAAGGATTATGTTTCTGCTTGTCTTACCCCCTCCTCCCCGCCTGGTGTAGAGAATTAATTTGGCTTGTGAATTTAGGCTTTTCACCCATTTAACCCAAAGAGATGCATGCAATTAAGACCACACACATGCCCACAGCCATACCCATAGAGCTAGTAGCATTGGTTAACCACGAGCTCTATGCTTTAACCTCAAAGCCAAAGATGTGTCAGAAATGCGGTTGTTACTAGAGATGCCTTCACTCTGCCATTGTCATTGCTAGATTAAGTGATACACAAAGTCAGTGGCTGTGTTTTCAGTCTGAATATTACTCTCTCTCCACACTTTAAAACCCTCTCAACTATACTTATGTTTCTTTCCTTACCAAAGCCACTGGAAAAACTTGACAAAACAGAATTTCAGTGAAGTATTTCAGGTCAAACTGCTTTTAAATTACAGGTGTGAATTTTATAGCATCTTTTGGCACTAATAGGAAGCATGTGTCAAAATTTCAAATTAACAGTCCACAGATTTTTCTCTGGTGATCAAAGCACATTTTTTTGAAAACAAAATCACTTGAAAACACGCTGTCTAAAACAATCTACCACGCTTCCTTAGGAGCACTTTGTTCCTTAAAATTCGATACAGTGGCTAATTAAGAGGGCTGGAGTTAGACAGAGTTGGGTTCCAGAGCCAGTTCTGTCAACTTACTACTTAAAGTGTGACTTTACTCAAATGACATGCCCCCTGAGCCTCCGATTACTTCTCTGTAAGAATGGAAGACTAACAGCGCCCCCACAGGGCTGTTGTGAAGAATCAATAAGAGAATGCATGTAGCCTGTTCTACACAGTGCCTGGCACAGGGGAAGCCCTCAGTCAATGGCGATGTTATTATAGCTTTGTTGATAGACACAGGGCTGAAGGCAGAGCAGTTAATGATCATGTGGTTGTCAGATGACCAATGTGGCTGAAGAGGTGCGAATGCTCCAGAGCTGTGTTTCTCCAAGTCAGTTCTGTGACCCGAGTGCCTGTTGATATTGCAGATTCTAGGATGGAGGTCCAGGAACCTGTATTTTCAACGACCATGATGCACATTAAAGCCTGAGACGCACTATTCATCTGAGAGCTGGTTAAGCCCCAGTCTGGGGTCAGGAGTCCTATATTTTCCTCATGGTCACACTTTCAGCCATGGAAATAGAAATTATCTATGTATCCCCCACTCTTCTCTTTTTATCTGCTAAGAGAGAGACTGATCATGAGAGTAAGCCTAGTAATTATACAGTATTGCATACTTAAAAGATGGCATAAAATATTTTCTAAAATTTTTAAAGCTTAAGATGTAAAAAAATTAAGATCAGTGGTTACTAAAGCCTCTTCAGTAATGCTTAGTATAAACATCTTGTTCCTCTGGCCAGAGACGAAGATACAGAAAGGCCTAAAAAAGATATGGACACTTGAAGGATCTATGGATGAGCACTTTATATCTGCTTGGTAGGATTAAACTGAAATGAGTAAAGTGCACAGATGAGACTGGCAGAGTGCCCTGAAAGACAAGACAGATTTTCTTAGACCAGGAAAGAATTCCGTATCTAGGGACAATTCCCTTGTTGGAACACAAATGCAGAGACTCTTAGAGGGACCCGCTGGCTGATTCCAAGTGTACTGTATTTTTTCCTGGTCTATCTTTTTGATCCTTTGCTACCTAGGATGTGCAGCCAAAAAGCCCTTCTTTTTGCAGCCCTGATAATGAGCACCCACCTCTCTGGGTCATTCATACTTCTCCACCTTAAGAAACAAATGACCCTCTGATGAAAGGCAGCTCAGATTTGTCAGAAAACAATGACACAGTGGACCATCTAATTGTAGGTCTCTATGCCTCATTAGTATCTGAGTGTGGGGTGGTACAGTTAATTAGAGCTGGAGCACAGACTTGTGAGATCCAAGTACTCATTTGAAAAGCTCTGAACATCAGGCATGATCATCTCAGTTACTGTGCATGCATTAGTGACCAATGACATGAATGAGAAGAGTGAATTAAATAAACTTTCCTTGTGCCCTAAATTATATTATCTTTTCTGCTTTCTTAATGATTTGATGTGTATAGAGGAAAAGGAAACCCCTGTTATTTGTCACTCCATCATGAAAAAATCCCCAGGCAGGAGGGCTGTCAGGGAGGCCTACCCAGCTGCAGTGGCCAGGAAGGTTGTTTCTTTTTACCTTTGCACTTTCTGGGTACTCTTCAGGGGTTCGGTGCAGCAAGACATGGCCTTTGCTGGGGATATTTAGATATATACAGTTTGCGGCAACGTCATCAGGCACGGTGAGTTTGTCGTAGCAGTGGTCACTCATCTGTTGCATGATCTATAAAGAGAAACAAAGCAGGCTTAAGCAGAGCGTCTCTCCACGCTTTCAAACAGAAGGAAGGCAGTGTGGTGGGATATAGGCTTGCAACCAATGCCTGAGAAGGCTTCTCTGTGTTGAGGTTCCTGTCTATTACTTCTTCATTAGAATCAGAAGAGGAAAACCTGATTCTTTGGAAGAACAGCAAGGGTTCTTATTGTTGTTCTTTTAAAAGTGTGTTTGCCTCTAATTTTAAAAAGGTTTTAAAACTGTCTATAGTTTTTCTAGTTTTTGTTCATGAGACCTATCAGTAAGACACCAAATGGCCACATACAAAAGGCCGAGTTGGGGTTTTGATATCTTTGGCCAAATAAGCAGGGCTTCCCTGGTCTATAGGAAAAAAGGACCAAAGCAGTAATCTGAATGGTCAATAATCTGACTTAGTTATAACTACACAGACACACACACACACACACACACACACACACACACACACATCCTCTTGTAGGTACATTTATTTTTATTATTATTTTTAAATTAATTGATTTTTTTTTGTGTGAGGAAGATCAGCCCTGTGCTAACATCTGCCAATCCTCCTCCTTTTGCTGAGGAAGACTGGCCCTGGGCTAACATCCGTGCCCATCTTCCTCCACTTTATATGTGGGACGCCTGTCACAGCATGGCTTGGTAAGTGGTGCATAGGTCCACACCCCGGACCCGAACCTGTGAACTCTGGGCTGCCAAAGCAGAGCACACGAACTTAACCACTACACCACCGGGCCTGACCCTGTAGGTACATTTAAATTGAATTCCCCTCTCCGTTGGCAGGTGACACCCTTAATACAATAAGCATAAAAATCACTGGAGGAGAATGTTAAACTCACATTCCTAGGCCTCACCCCCAGGGACTCTGGTCTGGCACATCTGAAGTGAGGCATAGAATTCTGCATTCTGAAGCTCTCCAAGTAATTCTGAGGCAGATCGTCCCTGGACCACACTTGGAGAAAAACTGATCTAGCAGGTCTATATATCAAATGATAGGTTTATTAATGCCTTAGTATAAAATAACTTTAAAAATAATGCAAAAATGAACTCTGCACAAAATTTAAAATATGGATACCTTATCCTTTTCTCCTCACCAAATCAAAACAAAAACCCAAAAAACAATACCCCCCTCCACACACACAACAAAAATATCCAAATACCAAAAACAAAAACAAATATTATTTTGGGCTTAGTCATGTAGACTCTTTCTATTTTTTATTTATTTATTTAAAAGATTTTATTTATTTATTTTTCCCCCAAAGCCCCAGTGAATAGTTGTATGTCATAGCTGCACATCCTTCTAGTTGCTGTATGTGGGACACGGTCTTAGCATGGCCAGAGAAGCAGTGTGTTGGTGCACGCCTGGGATCCGAACCCAGGCCGCCAGCAGCAGAGCGCGAGCACTAAACCGCTAAGCCACGGGGCCGGCCCACTATTCTTTGTTAATATCCACACATTTTAAGGAATCTGCTGAAAAGTCATGCCATGAAGGTATATAACAAGATCTTTTGCACAATCTGGTTCTAATCTACCTTTCCAGCCAGGTCTCCCTTTACCCTTCAATATTTGTATGTAAATGTGTTTCATATTACTAGACCCCCAAATTAGTAGATTTGCCCACTCAGTCATGGCGGCATTGGACAGTAAGATTTACAAAAGAGCAGAAGAGACTGCATGCTCCCTGTAGAAAATTCAGTCCCAAGAGAATGTGAAGAGTAGCACATAGTAAGCCCTTCCTGACTAGTGAATCAGATAAACCATTCACTTCTCCTAGTGCGGAATATGAGAAAAGCTGAGAGAGGCCAGGAGTAATCTGAAAATGGACTATCCTTCACATGGAAGGAAACATCAGCAGCGGGGATGAGCTTAAGCACTATATCAAAGGCTGAGAGATGCAAAGATGAGCAGGACATAGATCCAGTTTCTGAAGAGATCACAGTCTAATGGAGGAGACTGTCAGACAAACAGCTAATTATATTACAATAAGAACAAGCAGGGCACCATGCTAAACATTTTACATTTATTAGCTAATCTCAAAATTCCCATTTTATAGATGAAGAAACTGGACTGAGAGAGGTCAAATAACTTGCTCAAGGTCACACAGGTGGATTCAAGCCCCGATCCGGGCAACTCGAAACCTTCTTGATTAATCATCTTCCTTTGCTCACTTTCTCGACCTCTATAGCTGCAGATCTCTCCTACAAACTATCATAACATCTACTTTTTTGCATGCATTTGGTACTTATTATTTATTCTCCTGTGGTACCACTAATTCTCTTTTCATATGTAATCCTATTATGACATGGTACGGTTTGGTGTACCTACAGGACTTGATGGGACATCTCTCTTGCACTTTTAATTTAAACTGTTCCTTGAAGGGACAGGCCCATAGAGTGGACCACCTATAGGGTGGTTTCTTCTTTGGAGCCCTGACTGAGAAACCTTAGATCTATTCAAACATGTGGACAATTAAGAAGTTAAAGACACTCCTAAAGGTTAACTATTTTAAGCAAATTAACAACATATTCAACTTAGCCCTCTTTATAAAATGGATATGCCCAGAAATAATACGAAGAGGCATATTTAAGAGAAAAAAATCCAGACCCAAGTAGCTCTGTTCTACTACGAATTGCTATTTAATTATGCCTTATGCAGACTTTCTTTCTGGCTGCTTTCAAAACATAATAATAGTAGCTTCCATTTATTATCGTGTGGGAGGGGGCACATTAAGACCATCAACTCTGGAGTAAGACCTGGGTTTGAGTTTCAGCTCTAACCTATAAGAGCTATGTAAATTTAAGCATTTCTTTTTTTTTTTTTTTACTTCTTGGTTTCCTCACCTATAAAATTGGGATAATAATAGTCTCACATACTTATTGTGAAGGTTAAATGAAGATAATGTCTATAATAAGGCACAGTAATAAGCGCTTAATAAGCTACTAGTATTTTATGACAGCAAGACCAGACGAACAAGGTTCAAGTTTCCAGTCTGCAATCTCATCCACTATTCTGGCAAGCTTTGACCTTTAACCTCAATCTTAAGATAGCCTGTTTTGGAGGTCAATCCTTATTCTTAAAACCACCATAATGTACAGCCATTGTTACCTAGTCAAGCCTAGATAGAACAAAATAAAACTCAGAAAATCTAATATTCCCATTGGCTTCATTTTCTAAGCAACCGGGAGAAGTGTGGGTAGCATATTTTGGTCCATCACATTCAGGCTAGTTGTTCCCACCATTCATAAGCATCAGATAATTGCCAGTTGGTTTTCCAGTTTAATTCATGCATTCATAGATGATTCATGCCACTCTTTATCCAGAGACAAAGAAATCACCCATGGCTCTTAGTACAATATGAGCTGAAAGAGAGAGAAGCGTGGCAAGATCACATCTCATAGGCCTGACTATACCTTCAATGGAGCAGCCTGGGCAAATTTCCCACCTCTCAGCCTGACTCATGCATGTCCGGTGGTGACTATGAAGCAGAAACATGGAATGTTGTACATTCCAGAGGAAGTGTTATCAAGGATTGTTATCAGTGCTGACTTCTTGTTTATTAGCGAGGAACAAAATAAACTCTCCAAGGTTGTGCTTACCTCCGCTACTGCGGAGTAACGGAGACTGTGTATTTCCTTTCCCGATGTGCTTTATTTACTTGGGCTTCAGCTCTCTCCACGTTCCCTCCCATCCCCCACCTGCACTCTTTGAGGGAAGAGTCCTCTCCGCCCCCCTAGTTTCCTATGTTTGATTTGTTGTTTTTCAGTTAATGGCATTTATTTGAAATTCTAATTGCTGTTTTTCCGTACTCTTTAATGTTTCTCTCTTTTCTGGGTCATATATTTATAATTTATAGCTTCTGGTGACAGCATTCCTAAAATTACTGACATAAGGGCCAGTGTCCAACCTAGCATTGTTGGAGGATAGTTTCATTTTTTTCATTACTGTGAGGAAAGGAATTATAATATCCTTAGTGGGGAAATAATTTAAGGCTGGGAATATATAAAGTAATTCACTGATAAAGTCTACTGAGAGTTACTCTTAAAATAAATGTCTTCACAAAACCCCTAAAGCCACTTAGAAGCTTTTCAATTAATTTGTCAAGGCCTCATGGTTATCATTTTAAGACAGGTTAAAAAATGTGCCAAAAGAAATGACTTTTAATAATAGAACAGGCCCCATTTGGAGCAGTGAGTGGTTCTGCTTAAGCATGGAAAGAAAAAAATACAAAAGCTATGTCAGGTGTAGTCTTTCTAAATGAAAAGGATTTAGGAAGCGGTGACTGTAGATAATAAACAAAAAATACATTTTTTTTCCATGAAAAAGCTAAAAGGTGCTTATTCTAAACACAAAGAGTTTCTGTCTTTGAGACAAAGAACAGGGTTCTTTTTTCCTGTCAGAGTGATCGTTTCTTTCTCTCTTATATGTTGTTATTGTCTGAATAAGACAGCTTGCCATTTATTTATAGCTGTGTTCAGGAGACACATGCATATACACAGCGCAGGGCACTCGCCATTCGGAGGGGAACACACAGGAAAAGATTCAGGAGACTGTCCCTCTCTCTGACATCTCTTCCCCGTTGTGTTGGAATCAGCACTGGGAGGATGCACTCACATAGCCCGCCTGGCAGGGCATCACGTCAGGAGCTCAGGCTCCCAAGGACCAGGACAGAGCCACCGCGAGGCGGAGGAACAGGTTTTTTTCCGCTTTGTGGATGCACGGAAGCCTTTGTTAAAAGATGAGCATCATTTCAAATATCCCGAAAATGTGCCTGTTGGGCTGTTTAGTTCTATGTTCCAACATTTTTTTCTAAAAAAGGGTGGAGAAGGAGTATCACTCCAGAGCTCTGTGTAAAGTGTTCCTTTAACCCCAGGGGCAGTACTTCCTGCTTCTCACTGTGCCCCAAGCCAGAACAGGAAGAAGGCACCTGACCCCCCACAGCCACTACACATGCCCAAGAGACCCCAGACTCTGCATGA